CGACTTTTAAAAGCGTTGGCAACGAATTTAATCATCGATTAGTTGTGTCGCGCGATTAATGCGTCATCCGCCGCCGCCGTCATCCCGGGGAAGAAAAAAAAATATGGCGGAGCGAGTCAGCGCCGCAGTTGCAGTGTTGCCAACTCAGCGACTTTTCAGACCCCTCCAGCGACTATTTTTTTAAAAAGCGACTAGCGACAAATCTGGCGACTTTTTACGGTGTCACTGGCGGCTTTTGGAGACTCTTACGTGAAAGCATGTATCGTTCCTACTCTTGTCCTCCAGCGGCAGCTGCTGCCGTGGGGCGCCTCCCCCATCCCAACGCCTTTCTCCCTCTCCCACAAGAATTCCTCTCAGCGCTGCAGTCAGAGCCGTAGGATTTTAGTGAGGAGTTTACCCTCAGCGTCCAGACTGCAAATGAAGCGCGCATGCCCCGGGATTGACGGCGCAAATTGATCACAATAATTAAAATAGCCTTTGTAAAGTGAAAAAAGTCGTAACATGCAACTTTTGTAAAGACAAATAAACATGGCACGGAAGCACCACTGTTATGACGCAGCACCTGAAAAGAAAACATGTTGGAGCCTTCGATGGCAGTGAAGAGAGCTGATCAGCAGGATGAGTAACCATGTTTGTTTCATTTTAAAGTGGGGAAACGTAACGTTAGTTTCTCAGGTAGCTCATCTGATGCTTTCCTTAGCTTGTTAGTAGGTTACAGACAGTGATAAGGTTGGCTACTTATTTTACTTTTAATTTCATTTGAATTAGCTTAAGCAGCGTTTATATTTTCTTTATAAATAAATTAACTTGCAAATTATGAGGGCAAGGCTTTTAAAGTTTAAATCTTCTGGCAAAGATAAAGTAAAGAAGATCCTGCAATTTATGGAAGTAAAGCAGAATAAAATCCAGCAAGATCAGTAATATGTCAATTAATTATCTGCCACATTCCCATGTAAATATCTGTCTTTGGAGGATGTGTTTTTTAGCACCCCTACTTCTCTCATTTTTATTCCAAATACAATTTATAATTTGAATCACAGGGCTATTTTTATCTCTATGGTTCAGTATTTTCTCAAGTAGCAACTTTAACTGCTATACTTTCCTGTCTTAAAAGGCAGAACTCTTCTAGTCTAAAAAAACCTCATTTGTTGAAATGGGGGGACCTATTGTTTGAACCCCTTAGGGGCTTTTAAAAACAAAAATGTCTTTTTTTGCGCTTTATGAAACAAAGTAGCCTATATTTTGTGGATGTACAGCTACATTTCTCATGTAAGTTTGCGTAGTTTTAAAACAAACATTTAATTTTTCATATAGCACCAGTACAGTTAATGAGCAACCTGTACTTGTGTGCTTGTTTGTTCTGTCTAAAATGTTTATTTTGGAATAAAGAGGTTAATATAAAAAAAATATTTTGTGTCCGATTCATCGATTAATCGAAAAAATAATCGGCCGATTCATCGATTTTCAAAATAATCGTTAGTTGCAGCCCTAGTCATATCCTCAAACAGTGACAGATGACAGCCATCCCATAGTATCCCCTTCTTCTTCTTAGCAGCAGCCAGGACTTTCTCTCGGGCAGTATATTTGAGGAATCTCATAAGTACGATGCGCGGAGGCTGGTTGGGATCCGGGCGAGGACCTGAGCTTCTGTGGCAGTGTTCAATCTCAGTCACTTCCATTCAACTCTAGACCATCATGAATTATTTTCTGCACGTAGTTATCCAGTGGCATTCCAGCCTCTTTCCCCTCTTTCAATCCAACCAGTCTGATATTTTTACGACGGGCTCTGTTTTCCTGGTCATCAACTCTCTCATAAAGTTGTTCAACTGTTTTGGTTAGCTTGACGTTGTTTCTTGCTAGGTTAGCTACAGTATCCTCCATATCAGAAATGCGTTTCTCAGCTTCAGTTAACCTTGTTTTAATTGCACTCAAGGTGATCTTGAGTTCTGTTGTGTCCGATTTAATAAGGGTCACATCACTTGTGACTCCATTTAATGTCGCTCCCACCTTGGCAATCTCCGCAAACAGACCATTTATGTCCGTTACTTGGCTATCTTCTTGGCTAGCAGTGTTAGCTAAATTAGCTCCTCTGGTAGCAACAGCGGGCAGGCGGGTCTGCACACATTGTTTTCTTTCACTTGCCGTCGTCGTATTTCGGTCAAATTGCTCAAATGTAGTGAGCGTGCACACAAGCTTCAAGTAGGATGTTGGTAGGAGAGGTTTCAAAGTTATTTGTTTAAAATAATATTGACGGGGCTAGGAGCTCTTCTACAGCGCAGCCATTCCCTTGCACCTCATCACGTGACTCCCCTTTGCCAGAAGATTTAAACTTTAAAAGCCTTGCCCTCATAATTTGCAAGTTAATTTATTTATAAAGAAAATATAAACGCTGTTTAAGCTAATTCAAATGAAATTAAAGTAAAATAAGTAGCCAACCTCATCACTGTCTGTAACCTACTAACACGGTAAGGAAAGCATCAGATGAGCTACCTGAGAAAATAATGTTACGTTTCCCCACTTTAAAACGAAACAAACATGGTTACTCATCCTGCTGATCAGCTTTCTTCACTGCCATCGAAGGCTCCTAGTGTTTTCTTTTCAGGTGCTGCATCATAACAGTGGTGCTTCTGTGTTATGTTAATTTGTTTTTACAAAAGTTGCCTGTTACGACTTTTTTCGCTTTAAAAAGCGCAGGCTGTTTTAACTATTGTGATCAATTTGCGCCGTCAATCCTGGCGCATTTGCATTTGCTCATTTTCAGTCTGGACGCTGAGGGTAAACATCCTGCGGCCCTGACTGCAGCGCTGAGAGGGACTCCTGCGGGAGCGGGAGAACGGGGTAGGGATGGGGGAGGCGCCCCACGGCAGCAGCTGCCGACGGCGGCGGATGACGCATTAATCGCGCAACACAACTAATCGATGATGAAATTTGTTGCCAACGCTTTTAAAAGTCTATTTTTATCGATTTTATCGATTCGTTGCTGTAGCCCTACATAACACAGCTCCTCTTTAAAGTCCGTCACTCTGATTTTTTCAAAAGTTTGTGCTCACAGGAAATTCTTGTTTTTCAAAAAGTTTTCAAACAATCGAAGCCAAAGTTATACCAGTTATTTATCCTTTGATATCATTCAATAGTGCTGGGCGATATAGAAAAAAAGCTTATCAATTAAAAAAATGCATATTGATCGATATCGATAATTATTGAAAAGATTTGAAACCATATTTTATGTGCAGCACTGCCTGGACATTTTATGATATTGCTAAATGGTTAAATTTTAATAAAGAACACAAACACAGACTTCCAATTGAATATTTATTTAACCAACTTTTTTAACCATAACAGAATTGTTTAAAGAAAAATAACTTAAGAGACCTGAGTTATGTTATTAAATACTGACAAAGAATAAACTAAAGTGAGTAGAAAAGTGACCAAAATAAATATAACAAATATAACACCCCCCCCCCCCCCCCCCCCCCCCCCACACACACACACACACACACACACCCCCCCACCTCCCGAAATTTTCCCGAAATTCCTGAAGATTCCTCGGAGGAGAGCCGCCCCGGGGCCTACACAGCTCCTACTCGTGCGGGTGTGAGTGGCTGAGATGATTAAAAAAAAAGTTGGTTGTGTTATCAGACTTGGTTTTCACTGGTTCCCTACACATTTTACAGATGACTGTGGTTTGTTTTTTGTCCGACTTGCCATGACCTAAATACTGCCAAACTAGCAAACTACAAAAACCCTTCTTTGGAACCATTTCCTCCTTGCTGCGACATCTTCATGTGCTCTGTGTTGTGGTTTCAGAGGGCGGCGCTTTGTGACGGCGTGCCTGGGTCCGCGATTGTGATTGGTTGGGAGGAAGTAGTGACTAGCATAAACCTACATGATAGGCTACAACGAGAAGGAAGGAAAACAGCGTTTCTTTATCGAAGTTTTATCGACACTATTTTTTTCTATTGCGCCACACGTCTATCGATGGATATATATCGTTATTGAATTATCGCCCAGCCCTATCACTCAATATTCCCAAGTTTGGTACGAATCTCTTGATATTTGAGCATCTTATGGGGAGTTCCAACTGCAGCAGTAGATGGTTTTCCGGTTGACAGATTTTTCTTTCTTTGAACTATTTAGTAAAGAAACCAAAAAAAGTTCTAGTATATATATATATATATATATATATACACACACACACACACACACACACATATACATATATATATATATATACACGCTTGCACACACTGTAAAAATGTCCACAGCTGCATATTAATTATACATTATACATATGTATATAATTAGGCATATATTAATTATACATTATTCAGATGCATCTATTTATAATAAAAAGAACACTACAGGACAGTATTTTTTTATATTTGTTCATAGCATTTCATGTTTTACTTTTTTTTCTTCTTTACAGCCCTTTGTTCAGCTGTGCCTGTTTTTAATTGATTAACAAATAAAATTAGATTGGATATTTATTTTAACTCGAGTTTCTATTCTATGTAGTGTATATCTGCTGTTTATTTAGTAATGTCTTCCAAAGCTCTGATGCCTTCATGAAGTTCTCCCTCCAGCCCTGATGTCAACAGTCTGTTGATTTAAACTAAACTCCGCTGCAGTGCTGAGGCATCCTTCTACTGTTCTGCTTAAAGCAGCAGGATGACCTCCCCAAGATGGCGCCCGTAATGTCTGCGCTGCGGCAGTCAATGCGGGGTCTCTCCTTATATATATGTCTATGGTAGAGACGGTTTTCTCCGATTGCATTGAACTAGGAGCGAAGAAGAGGTTTAACCGGAGCAAATTACTAACTTAACCGCAGTCATTAAAACCAAATGCTGGAAGTGAGCGAGCTGACCGTAGTAAGATGGCCGCCGACCATAAGTTAGCTTTAGCTTAGCATGTTGATCTCCTCTAAGCAGTTTTCCAATCAGATGAGGCTAAAACCCACAGTGTGCATCGTCAGGGAATCGTTTCTATCAGGTGTTTCCTACCTATCCGGTGTAAGATGATCTGGGGGATCCTGGTGAAATCCAGCAGTAGATGTTGATCGTCCATCTTTTCCTCCGAATTGACCAAACTCCCTTTAAACTCCGTGAATGTTTCTTCAGCAGGAGTTAACTGCTCGGTGATAAACTCTCCTTGAAGCTGGACTGAAGACATTCTCACTGCAAACACTCCCAGATTATCAGCCTCTCTACAATGACTCCACACACAAGCTAAGCTAATGCTGCTAATGCTACCCGATCCCTACCAGCAGCTCATTGCGCATGCGCAGCTACATCTACATCCGGGTCAACCTCGATTTTATTTTGAAAATTAAGAGGGTCTGCTTATAGATGTGGATCTAACTTTGCTGTTTATACGGAAAAACAAGGAGGGTATTTCTGATTCAGTTATGCTGCAGCAATATTCAGATAATAAATATTATGGATATTTATTTATGTTTATATTATTATATTATGTATATGTTTATATTATTGATATTTATATAATTGATATTTGATGCTTCAAAAGATTCAATAAAAGGAAAAGTGTTTAGTTTGTAGTTCCAGAATTTAATTTTAAATCAGGTCAAAGAATCAGTGATAGAGTTTTAATGAACAGAGGAGAAATGTACGGTGGCGGGGAAGTGCAAACCATCAATACAAAATCTGAAACACTTTTTACAAATCTTGAAAGAACTTTACATTTCAGAATACAAATTTACAACAAACAAAACACTTTTACAAATCATAAAACAAATTTACATTTCAGAAAACACTTTTACACCTGACAAAATCCGACGGAAAGGGAGGGACTGTCTTCGAAGCTTACCCGGAAGGATGGAAGCTAATCGAGTTGCGTTTTGCCCGTTCTGCGGCACTCATATGAGCAGTTTAACGCGGTTTTGTTTTTCCTGTGGTCGGTCCTTGGAGTTTCTAAATGGTACAGAACAGACGGAAGAATCAGGTATGCTGCAGCAGTGCATACATTATTTTAATGAGGGTCACTCGTTCACTGTAATCGTTGACATGATGTCATGTTTACATGTTGTACACATCAGCTTGAGGTCTCTGAAAAGCAAACTGAATGATGCCGGTCTTCTGCAATATTCTGCTTCCCTGTGAAAATCTGTTCCCCTGTGTCGGGAGCGCGCATTGCAGCCAGAGAGGCGGATCTCACCATTTTCAAGGCGCTCCAGATCATTTTTCAGTTAAAACAGCTCATATAATCATGACAACTTTGTAACATACAGTTTAATCGGTTGCTCTTTCTACAAATTTGTAAAATAAATACATTAACGAGGTCTTCTTAAGCTGTTTTGTGTTGTTTTTTTAAACGCCAAGAGAATCAATATTTCTCCAACTTTTGTCCCTTCAGCCTGACAGAAATAAACGTCAGTCACCAAACAGATTTCCAACACGTAGTGCATTTATTATTTTTCATTGCTGATAAAAGAGCATGGAAACTGGCTGATAGCAGGGAACACACATTAGAATTTCTGGTTAGTCCCCTTCTAATGTAAAAGATGAAATATTAATGGATTAAGGACATTTCTAGTATAATATATCACACATATCAATTTTAGAGAAATTGGAAACAGTTGCTCTTTATTTCCCAAAGATCGGGGAGGGGGAGAGGCGAGAACAGATTATTTCAGTCAACTGAATCATCCATTCTCTCCTCTCCTCCTCCCATATCTTTGGGAAATAAAGAGCAACTGTTTGTGAAATGTTTGTGATTATATTGACGTTAGAATAGATTGTAGAAATCCATCCAGTCAGAAGTTTGGTTTGTCCTGATTCTAGTTCATCGTTATATTCATTTAAATACAATCATCTAGACAGCAGACCTGATATCTAATTAGGAATTAATCAGTTTTCCAGAATTAATGGGATTAATAGTTTATTTTATATGGATTCCTTCTTGGAATCAAAGGGAATGGGATGGCTGATAAATGTGACTTGGGCAGATGTTATTTTGAACACACAAATGTATAGAAAAATTTTTTTGTTAAGTACAGCTCTCTAGACTTTCTAATTTTTTTAAATGCAGCCTTGATAAGGTCAGCAGCAGTGATAAAAACACTGGGATGAAAAAAAGTGATGTAAACATATAACTGTACAGTTACAGTTCCAACATTCAGGTTTTTTAATATTTTTTATAACCCATTTTACCCAACATTCAGCAGTCTAATGGCAGTGGGGAATAAACTCTTCTGGAATCTGCTGGACCTGCATCGGATGGTTTGAAGTCTCTTCCCAGAGGGCAGCAGGGAGAACAGTCCATGGTGGGGGGGTGAGGGGTCATTGATAATGTTACAGGACACGCAGCGCTGGGATGAAATGTCTTTAATGGAGGGAAGAGGAGCCCCCATGATCCTCTCTGCTGTTCTCACCTTCGTCCAGTCTGAGGCGCTGCAGCCTCCACACCACACAGTGAGACAGCTGCTCAGAACGCTCTCTATGGTGCTTCTGTAGAAGGTGGGGAGGATGGGTGGGGGCAGGTGGGCTCTCCTCATCCTCTGCAGGAAGAACATGCGCTTCTGTGCCCTTTTGACCAGTGAGGTGGTGTTTACGACGAAGGTACTTTTTATCAGCTTGATTAAACGGTATAATTCAACATGGAAAAAACAGAAAAACGGCAGTTTTTCTCCTCAGAAAACGATTCGTTTTCCCGTTTTGTGGTTTCTGCACATAAAACCAAAATCTATTAAACGGCTTGTTTTGGTTTTTTCGTGTTCGCCCCCAAAACGGAAACACCAGTCAATTTTCGGTTTCAGAAGTGGGCGTGGCTTTCAAGCCCGCCGGTCCGGTGCCCTTCAAAATAAAGGCATGGCATGGAGAAACTTTCGTTGTATTTCCTGCCCTCATGGTAGCTTTTGCTTGTGTTCGAAATTAAAGCAGGTCTTATACATATATAAATATATACAGATATTTAGATGTAATATATATTTATATTTTTTATAGCTACAGGGTTTACTCGGAATAAAGTCATCAGAGAGATTTAACTGCGACAGAACAGAAAAAAAGTAAATTTGACACTCACAACAGGTATTTTAAATGACCAGCAGATGTCGCTGTGCATCAATGGGACAATTAATCGCAATTTCATAAATGGAACATTTATGAAACGGAGTGCTGTGTGAGGAACTTCATTTTTGTGGCGGTAAAAAATCTGGAATTTTTTAGAGATATATCTGGGAAAACAGCCAATACAAACAGGAGTGAGGTGAAAAAAATTATCCCTGCATTTCCATGCCTGAGATGTTTGTACCTCTACGGCAAGATACTATTCTTATGTAAATACATACTGATAGGATACTATGCAAACTCAATTTTAACAGTCTTGCCGGGGCTGGGTGATTTGATTCTGCGCTGGCACATCGTCATGCGCTTGAATTCAGATGTACATAAAGGTACATGTTGATTTGCACTTTTTTGTCGCATATGAGGGGACATGTAACATCAGGGGCTTTGGCTCAGACCCGTCATTTGTCCTTGTCCCTTTACAGTCTTTACGAATTAATTCCGTCCGCTCCAACAAAATCTGAGAACGTGAAACTGAGTCTTTGGAAAAATTGGGAAAACTCCGGGCGAGGACAGCACAGTGATGTCAGTAACTCTGTTTTCAAAATCTGACAGCTATGAGATTGTCCCAGGATGCAAGAGTACAGCGAAAGCTTGTCCACTGCTTATGGGACTGATTTATGCCCTGAACTGTGCATACCCTCCTGAGCCTGGCCCACCTGGAGGAGAAGAACACCCACGTGCGGATGCTGTTCCTGGACTTCAGTTCAGCTTTCAACACCATCATCCCACAGCACCTGGTGGAAAAGCTGGAACATCTGGGCTTCAACACACCCCTTCGAAACTGGCTGCTAGACTTCCTCACCAACAGACCTCAGTCGGTCCGGGTCGGTCAGAACACCTCTGACGTCATCACCCTCAGCACGGGCTCCCCTCAGGGCTGCGTCCTGAGCCCCCTGCTGTTCACCCTGATGACATACGACTGCGTCCCCAGGTTCAACACCACTCACATCGTGAAGTTTGCGGACGACACAACGGTGGTGGGCCTCATCAGGGACGACAATGACCAGGACTACAGAGAGGAGGTGGAGCAGCTGGTGGACTGGTGCAAAGATAACAGCCTCATCCTGAATGTGGAGAAGACCAAGGAGATCATCTTTGACTACAGGAAGAACCGTCCTAACCACGCTCCACTGCTCATCAACAGCTCAGCTGTAGAGGTGGTCAGCAGCACAAAGTTCCTGGGGGTGCACATCACAGACACCTCACCTGGACTGTAAACACTTCATCTCTAGTGAAGAGGGCACAGAAGCGCTTTTACTTCCTGCAGAGGATGAGGAGAGCCCGCCTGCCCCCGCCCATCCTCACAACCTTCTACAGAAGCACCATAGAGAGCGTTCTGACAAGCTGTCTCTCTTTGTGGTGTGGAGGCTGCAGCGCCTCCGACTGGAAGAACGTGAGGAGGGTGGTGAGGACAGCAGAAGGAATCATTGGGGCTCCTCTTCCCTCCATTAAGGACATTTCATCACAGCGCTGTGTGTCCCGAGCCTGTAATATCATCAAAGACCCCTCACACCCCCACCATGGACTGTTCTCCCTGCTGCCCTCTGGAAAGAGGTTCCGCAGCATCCGCTGCAGATCCACCAGGTTCTGCAACAGCTTCTTCCCCACTGCCATCAGACTGTTGAACCTTTGATCCACAAACCGAACTCTGCACCTATTTCACATTATCGGGCATCAATGCTGCTGAACGTTTAACTTTTAGCCCTTTAAGTTCATGTCATTTCTATTCTCAATAACGCATTTTTTGCACAAATGCCTATCTGCACTGAACCATTGCAATTTGCACACTGTCTTTATCCTCTGCACTGTTTTACACTTTGACCACTGCTGCACTTTTTGTATAACTCTGTAATGTTCCTGGCACTGGAGCTGCTAATTGCAATCAGTGCACCTGTTCTCACTCCTCCCCTCCTGCTTAAAAGCTCTGTCTCTCCTACCTCCAGTGCCAGAACGTCTCTAGCCTCTTGGTGACA